GAGGGAGGGAAGGAAGGAACTCGAAACGTCTCCCAACCCCATCCAACCATCCCGGGGACCGCCAACTCAGCCGCCATCCCCCTCTGCTCTCCGGTCCTCTCCACACAACCAGATTCAGACACAGACACAAACGACATACATACATACGCAGGCCAGGTAGCCGCCATGCCGTAAACACACAGACATACATACACACCGGTAGATCTGGGGGTAAATCTGCCAACCGACACCTTTTCGCAAAGTTGCTCTCCAACTCGCCCCCTCCATCTCGCGGCCCATTCGTTAAACCGCCCCTCCCTCCGCCCTTCAGGCCGCTCCACCCGCGTCAAGTCACGCCACGGCACGCGGGTATCTCGTCCGGGTAATGTGCGTGTACCTGCGTCACTCGCCAAGGCTGCCGTACCGCCGCCGCCGCCGCCTCCGCCACCTGCCAGCCTGTCTGACCGGCTGGCTAGCCCCCTATCTCCCACCTCAAGCCTCGTAAGGCCCTTGAGGGGCGCCAAAGCCTTCAACCGCTCCAACGTCCAGCCCGGTCGCCGGAGTACCAGGCTTGTGAGGCGCGATCCCAGCGGGGCCAGGCTGCTAATGAGCTGATCAAGATCCTGCAGTGGAGATCAATCGATTAAACGGATTGATAGGAATGAAACAGTAAGGGAAATAATATCATCGATAAGAATTATAATTAACATAATTAATAATATCATCAATAATAATAACAGTGTAACACCCCATTAATAATATCAATATCGTATCAATATCAATATCAATATCAACATAATATAATATACAATATAATAAAAATAAATAATAATTCTGATAATGATAAGATGATTTTTAATTTTATTATGAATAGTTAGTAAATCACTGAAAACCAAAGGAGTGTTGGAATGGATGTATTCATCAGGGGGAGATGGGAGGGAGGGAAAGACGAAAGTAAACTAAGATTACACTAGACGATCTATGTATTGTTTATGTATACTGTTCCACGAACGAGGGAGGGAGGGCATTCAAAATAATGATGGAATGAGCCAAGGAGGAGAGGAGCCGCAGAGAGGAAATAAATGAAAACGACGTCCAAAAGGAGGAGGACGGGCCCTAGGAACGGTCGTTAGGAAACTAGACCCAATATACAAAATGTGCACAACCGTAACCGATTTGCGTCTTAAAAAAATAATAAATAATGTTAAAGGCTCTTAAGAGGGCGCAGCGGAGGGCGAGCGAAGGGAAAGGCGAATAGAAACGAAGGGTAGGGGCGATGACGTGGAGACTGTCGTCCCGTCTGTCTGTATGTCGGTCTGTTAGGCAGGACACAAGGAACACCGGACACAAGTGACAAAAAGCTAAGGGAGCTGTACGGCAGAGGTGTACGTACGGCCTCCGCTGTCGTACCTTTCGAAGCACTAGCTGGTGCGGCACAACCGACAGGGACTCAATGGTCAGGTCCTCCAGTCGTACGAACCGTGGTACGGCATCCGCCACGTCTGAGCCGTCCAGCTGTGCTGAGGTGCCGTACAAAGCCAGCCGCCGCAGCCCCGTCAAGCCCTTGGCCTGGTGGCGCCCCGGGTCGAGCGTAGGACGTATGTATGTATGTATGTATGTATGTATGTATGTATGTATGTATGTATGTATGTATGTATGTATGTATGTATGTATTCATATGCATGTGGCGGGGTTGGCTTTATGGCCGTGTTTGGGGCCGCGGACAGGAAGGTATGCATGCACACCCCTCTACATTTAGAATTGCCCCTGCCGCCGCATCCCGTAAGGCCCTCATAGGACGTTAGCCATTAGGGTTCTTCAGCAAGTAACCCAAAAATTTCGGTTGTGCCCCGAAACCCTCATTGACGAACCAACCACCTCTCAAGGTTCTCCCCGAGCGCCGCCCTGTCATCTCGACATTCCCTTCGTTATCGCCATTACCAACAAGCCCTTTTTTGTAAGGGCTTCAACAGGCAGCATATATTGTGCACCCACCATCGCCCTCAAGCTCTTCACCCGCCCGCCCTGCTGAGCCGACGCGGCATAAATCCCTGGTCCGAATTCCCTCTCACCCCCCCAATACACACACACGCACACACGCACGCAGTCCTTCCCCTTCCCCTTCCCCTTATTGCACCCACCATCGCCCCAAGCGGCCGGTGCTGCTCGGGCCGCTCACAGTCCCGCACGACAAGCTCCGTGAGCCGAGTGAGCGCCGAAACCGCCAGCCACTGTCCCCGTACATCTACCAGGTGTAGCGACTGCAGCTCCGGAACCATCGCGCACCACTCTAACGAGGCAGGCGCGGGCAGCGGCGCAAGCGGCGGCGACCGGATGGCCTCCGACGCCGGCGGGTGGTAATGTACGGAAACGGGCGAGGTAAGGCCAGTTGTCGCCGGCGTCGGAGCTGCCGATGCAGCTGACGCTTCTGTTAATGTTTTTGCGGCGGTGGCGGCGGCGGCGGCGGCAGAAGCTGCAAGCGTAGCAGGCGCTGCCGCCTTCCCGCCGTCTTGATGGTTCTTAGATGAAATATCGCCGTACATAGCTAACGCCAGGCGCGATGCGGCCTCCGCCGCCGGCGCCAGACTCGCCTCCGCGGCGGCGGATACTGAATACTGTTGTACAGCTGGTTTGGACGCGGTTGGCGCCGCCGCTGCTGCTGCTGCTGCGGTTGCGGCACCGGAGGCAGTGGGAAATCCTGGCGAGCTGAAACAGATCTTGCTTACATAGAAGTTCGTTAGCCTGGTCGCGGGATACAGTGGCGGCGGCGGGGGCCCCGGTGGCGGTGGCGGCGGCGGCGGAGCCTCCCTAGAGGTGGCGCTGCCGCCGGCTCCCCCGACGGCAATGGACCTTGCTGCAGTACTCTTGTAGGCACTATTACTTGCTGCGGCAGCAGCAGCAACTTTAGCTTGATGAACAGTCCCAGAGAAGAGCGGCGGCGGCGGGGGCCCCGGCGGCGGCGGCGGCACCGTACATCTTCCGATAGCGGACTCAGCCAGTGCCGTCGCTGCCTGCTGCTGTGCTTGGCCTGGCGCCGGCGGCGGCGGTTGCTCCCGCCGCCGCTTGGGCAGCCGTACCCAAGGCTTCAGCGGCGGCGGCGGCAAGCCCGGCGGCGGTGGCGGCGGCGGCCGCTGCATTACAGATGACGAAGCCGGAGAAGCCGCCACGTGGGCGGCGGCTGGCGGCCTGGCGACTGTCTTGAACAAGGGTTCAGGCGGCGGCCCCGGCGGCGGCGGCGGCGCCGGCTGCCGTAAAGGGCGCGTTCCAACGGCGCCGCCGCTGCTGCCCGCCCCAGCAACCGCTACGATGCTCATTGCCGTACTGGTGCCGACGGCGCTAGCGCCTGAAGCGGCTGTGCTGACAATGCCAGGAAACAACGATGGCGGCGGCGGCGGCGAACCACCGTACCTGCCTGTCGTACTCATCACATGCGTGCGTGTCGGCGGGAAGCGCTTTTGCACCGGCGTCATCATGTGCGGTGGCCGCAGCGGCGCGGGCGCTGGCACTGGCGGCGGCGGCGGCGGCGGGCCTCCCGGCGGCGGCGGCGGCACCGGCGGCGGCGGCAGCACCGCCGCGACGCAGCCCCTGACCGTCACGTGCTTCACTCCAGGGAGGGCCCTCAGCACGTGCGCCAGGGGGTACTGCAGCCGACCACAGGATATATCTAGACGTTTAAGGCAGGTTAGGGGCGCAAGTGCAGCGACACCTGTCCAGGGAGGGGTCGGGGGAGGGGCAACGGGTCAGAACGAGGAGGGAGCGAAGGTGGGAAGGACGGGGTACGACACACACACACACACGTCCCTCCAGAATCCGGTGCTTGCCGTACCCTTTTCCCCACCCCACCAGCAGATCCCCCATGGGGAGAGATCTCGGTGCCGTACTCGACAATGCCTGCCCCCGGCTCAGATTAATTTAGGGCACCGAGAAACGCCTAGCCGGCTGCAAAGGCCAACAGGCTAGGTGGGGCCAGAGGTTCTCCCCGCCCGATTACCTGGCCTCCCCACCAGCCCTCCCGTCAATCGGCCAACTAGCATACGATGTCTTACCATGAAGCCCGCTAGCCCGCCAAGAAGTCACTTCCTTAAACATCTCTCTAAATGCATGTGACTGTGTTGTTCAAAAGGATAAGGCCCATAAATTTTTCTGTCCATATTCTGTCCATTCAGTGACAGTCTAAATGCTCACCAGCTGGGGTAAGACGTCGGCCGCTGAGCTTCAGGACAGCTAGCTTGCGACAGCTGGTCAGTAGCGGTACGTCTTCGTCGTACAACTGGGTGTACGACGATAGGTCCAGGTCGTGCAGCTCGGGAAAAACCGCGGCCAGCGAGCGGTCGGGATGGAGAGCGTCCAGGTTTGAGAGCTGCAACCGCACCACGGCGGACGACGCGGCCTCGCGCCAGCCGCGGCACACAAGGCGCAGTGTACGAACGGCAAGCTGGAAAAGCTCCGGCTGCATCTCCCCATGGTCGACGCTGTCACGGCTTTGCCCAAGGCCGTCGCTCGCTAGGACAATACTGTATGAAGGAAAATCAGTTGTAACCGATATTAGCTTGGGCGAGCTGGTAGAGGATGCCGGAGGGAAACTAACTTCCGGAGTATGTTGTTGCACGTTAATTGCAACGTTATTGACTGCGTGCATCATCCTAAGAAAATCTCCATCCAACGGAATGCACGATACATCTCTGACTACATGCCTAAACACATCGAGCGGCATGCTCTGCCAGTGAAATGTTGCCATTTCTTGCCAACTCCTAAGGGGGTTGGGTTAGTGAAGTCACTGTGAGAATAATTCAATTTTCAGAAATCTTCCTAACTCTAAGGCTAAATCGTAGCGTCCTTCATTGAAGGCCCAACCAGAGCTTAGGCCCGGAAAGGCCCGAGCAGGCCCGGTAAGCATCAGCGTTACTGGTACAGATAGAGTAATGTTACAGTAGTAATATACAGAAGCTGCAGCAAAGTCTGTTTGCCAAATTTTGAAGGGAGTAAAGCTTGGAGTTTGGCACTCTGGCTCCGAAACCGGACGCATTGACAGTTTGCCTTCATGTTTACCTTTGCAGCCCCCAGGTGGCAAAGGTTTGCCAAATGTAAGGAGACAATGGTTTCATATGTCTTCTTTCCCTCCTAGCGTTGTAATTACATCGCCCACCTACAAAGCCTATACTGCGTTACATATACTCTGCGTGTTTTCATTAGCTGGCAACATGGAGTACGTTCTTAACCATACCCGTGATAAACCTGATACAAGCGGGTGAGTGCTTGTGTGACCTGTAAGGTCGCGTCCGTAGTTTGCTGGAGCTTCGATTTCTGAAACGTTAGAAGCGACTGCGACTATATGCGGTTATACGCTGAATTGGGAAGGATATCACCAGGGTTACTATGTTATGCGACCGCGGCTCTGGCGAATGACAAAGGTTCGTGTCTCTGCAAGTTATCCTGCCGCCATCGCGCGCATGCAGGCTTCCTGATCGCCGTATGAGACCCCAATCTGCATTTGTACCTCGCCAAAGTTACTTCAAGCATAAAGGTACGAAGCATTAAACGATGCCGCGGGCCGCGGGTTTTCGCGAGGTTCAGGCTTAAGGAGTTTCTCAATAAGCTGTTCAATATGTAACACTGCACAAGTTTTAAGAAAAACTGCGTAGCTTCGTACTGTGGTGTGATGGTCCCGATTGGTAATTTTCGACCTACCTGCCCCGTCTCGGACTTGCAATTGCACGCAGGCGAGGAGGACGACGTCGGCCGATCAGTATTACAGCATAAACCTCTAGCGAAGGGCGAATTTACCCAGCTCTCGCTCGCAAAAGTTTTCGATGATGACCCGGGGATGCGGCCCAAGGTTTTCACCCCTCTCACAGTTAACAAAATCAGCTATGGGCTTCTGAGCCGTGATATCGACGGTGCTTCGGTGAGCCCCCATAGGGTCGCCTTCAGGGAGGGCCTTTCCTTATCAGCTTAGGGACTACAGGGCCCGGTCCTGCCTGAGCTGTTAAGGCCGTCACACACACCAACACACACCAACACACACCAACACACACCAACACACACCAACACACACCAACACACACCAACACACACCAACACACACCTCAACACACACCAACACACACACAGCCCTCAACCAGATCCACTCACTGACACTCAGCTAGTCGATGAATAAAATGATTAAGCCCCTTATGCCCCGTGTGCGGTCGCCCTCGCGCTGCTACACTGCGTCATCTGCATTAGGGCCATGCATTAGACACAGCCACCGTCAAATTGTACGGCAAAACACCATCTCTAACCCGCCTATTTCCCCCTTCCCCCCATCCCATCCCCTGCAGTCCGCGGCCAAAGGTGCTCCCTTCCGCGCGCGAGACACGGACCCAAACACCCCCAGGTACATTTTGCCGGGGGCTTCGACACCGGCGACGGAGGCGGCGGCGGCGGCGACGGAGGCGGCGGCGACGGCGGCGGCGGACGGCGTCGCCGACGCCCCGTCCACACTCGCCACACCCCGCCAGCAACCCCGAGCTCCCCTACAGCTCCCTCAGCGAAACACACGTGACACGCTCGATGTGTACGACATCAACCGAGTGGATTCGGTTTCGGAGCGCCCTGAGAAGATGGAGACGCGCCATACCCTCCTGAGCACTCGTGATGTGGAGGGAAGCTGGCCAGGATGGGAGCCGCCGTTCCGGGCGCATGTGGGAAAGAACCTTCGAGATCCTGGACTAGACGTCAGCGATATCAGCGGGACGCGCTCCCGGCGTCGGATATTCTCAGCGCGACCCACTCTCGGCAGTAGCAGCCGCGGCGGTGGCTCCGCTACAGCCCGGGACCCGCCGCGTCCGCCGCAGGAGCTACCGCCGCCGCCGCCGGAGGCGGCGGCGGCGACATGGGGAACAAAGCAGCCCTCGGACCAGCTACAGCTACAGCCACAGCGGTGTAGCTCCTTAGCGTCGGGGGGCCGGCAGCAGCAGGAGCAGCAACAGCCTCAAAGCTACCTGCCACCGCCGCTGACATGGCAGCCCGTACAGTACGACACGGGAGGCCAGCAGTGGTCGAGCGAGGGGTCGTCGAATGGCAGCAATGGCACGACGCGACGCTACAGCCATCCTGTACGACAACAGCAACAACAGCAGCAATCATCGCCGCTGCCGCAGCAGCAGCAGCAGCAGCGGGAAGAGGAGCAGTTCGTACACGCCGCCGGCGCATGGCCCACGACAGTGACGCTTCCGCTGCGTCCCTCGATATCTCCGCCGCCGTTTGCGACGTATATCCCTACCGGCAGCGTCGCGGCGGTGTTGTCGGCGGCGCTTGATCCGTCGACGGCGAGCCGTACGGCAGCGGTGGCGGACCACCCTGCCGCCACCGTCGGCAAGCCGTCGCCAGCGAAGCGAGACGTAGCCGCGCGCCATGCCGCCAAGGTAACTCTTGCTGAGGTGCAGCGGGCGGATGCGGCGGAGGCACATCGCATGATCTGTTCCTTGCTGCCCAGCCGAGAGGCCGTGGAGGAGTTCTACTCTAGCTGCCGCCGACTCGACAGGGAGTCTTGTGGAAAGGTGGCGCCCACAGATTTCGTACATGCCCTGGAGCGTGCGAACCTTCTAGATGCATTGGTGCCGGGTACGGCGTCGGCGGAGCTGTCGGCCGCGGCGGCGAAGGCGCTGACGCGCGGCTTCCAGGATGGCTGTGGGATGGTGTCGTACAGGTACCTTGCAAAAGCGTTGCTGAGTCAGACGTCGATGAGTCAGACGCGGCTGTCGTCATCATCGAAGGTGACGGCGGCGCCGGCGGTGCTGACGTCAGCATCGACATCAGCACTGGCTGGACCGGCGGAATCGCCGGCGACAGCCGTCGATGTACGAACACCTCAGCAGACGTTGGCCCCAGCGGTCACCTCCGCAGCCGGAGCTGTACGGCAACCCGTAAGGCCCTCAGGACCGTTCTCGGAGGTGTCAGATGGCAATATTAGAGCAGCATGTCCGGGACCTGCTGAAGGCGTTTCTGACGGTGCCGCCGCCGCCGCCGCCGACAGCGCGGACGGCAGCGGCGAAGCCCCGTGTCACGCCGGTGACGCGTCGACGGCGGCGGCGGCGGCGGCGGCGGCAGGGTCCCGA